GGTCATACAAGACCAAACAATAACTAAAGTAAAAGCCTCATCAAGAGGCACACTTTAGTTGACCATCATCAAAAGCAAAAGTCGTATTCTATTGATTACAACTGTGTCAGATCATTATAATGACCATTTTATCAAACATATAGCAAATATCATAGACTGTTCAGATATTCGGAATCACCTTGGGTCCATCTTATCAGATAAATAGAATGACCTTGGGTCCGTCATATACATTCATACATCGTCAATCACAGTTACAGATATCATGATAATCGGACAGATAGAAAGCTCATTCATACTTACGAAATTATAAATTCAGAAAAGCTTACCACAATAGAACATTTAGAAAATCGATTATGCAAAAATTTCTGTACTAAAATATTACTCACAGCAATTACATTGTTGTCACGTCTCTGTAGGTCAACCTACACAGCACAAACATATACACACATTGTAACACGTGGCTAAATCAATTCATTCTTTTTTATTCAATCCCTTTAAGTCCAGTTCTAACGTATTAAGTCATTTGAGAGGCTTAACTCATGCCTAAGAATGCTCGGAAAGGAATAAGAATGAAAATATCAACATAATATGACTTTCAAAAATATATTGGAACTTGGCAGTTTGCTCGAACGCACAATTGGTCACTTGAGCGAATCTCATGGTCTGCAAAAGTACTAGATGCTTGAAATCTAGATTCGTTGATTACTCGAGCCAAGTTTAATTAAAACTGAGGTCGCCCGAGAGCACAATTGGTCGCTCGAACGATGTGGAATGTTCTGCAAAAATACTGGAAGCTCTCATTGTGCGTTCGAGTGGTAATTTCATCACTCGAGCGATGAGGTCGAATTCTGGTTTTCAAAACATGAAAAAAAAATGCTCCAAACTCAATTCCAAAGCAAAAACTCTTGCATGGCTTGTTCTAGACCATGAAAACACTTGTTAAAACATAAACACATGACCAATTCCAAACCCTTAGCTCAAAACTTCATGAATTCTTCATAATTGGAACTCAAATCTCCATGCATGTATAAGTTAGTTTCAAACTCTTTTCCATAACTGTCAAATCATAAAATTAAACTTCAAAACATTAGGAACCATGGATGCATGTATGATTCAACTCTCAATTCAAACATAGATAGCAAAAGTCAAGATCAAAATGAAAGAACTTTACATATTGATACATACATGCATGTCAAACCTCAAATTCATCATCTTAAAGCTATTTTCTTGTAATTAACCTCATATTCTTCCTGAATTCATTAGCTAGATGACTTGATTACATAAATTAAGGATTAAACTCTTACCTAGAGTCTTGAATTTATCTTGTTATAGCAAAATCTTAACCTCTTCTTCTTAATTCCTCAATCCTCCAAGCAATTCCTCAAGTTTTCTAGCTCTCTCTCTTTAAGATGAACCCTCCTTCTCACTCTAAGTTCTCCATCAGATTTTTGAGTGCCAAAATAAGTTCATCTTCTTCTTAAGGTTCAAATATATACATGTGATTAGCTTATTACATTAATTAAATATTAAGCTAATTAATTAAGGCTTAAGGTTAATTAAACAAATCTTAGTTTTACTAAACTGAACTGAATTTTAATCAAACTTTCTAAAAGGCTCTAAAAATTATGACAACCTAGTTAACTTGTCAATTTCGGTTTCTATAAGGCTCTAAAAATTATGGCTTTCAATTTCAATTTCAAATTATGGCTTTCAACTTTCTAAAAGGCTCTAAAAATTATGGCTTTCAATTTCAAATTCAAAACAAAAATCATAACATATAATTCACAAATCAATCAGATACATGCAAATTAAATGTAAGGCACACATTCACAACTCAAAATTAAATACATATAAGTATGTCACATGGTGGGGTTATCACAGTGCAACCACACATGAAGAGCGAGAATACATGGCGAAGGTACCCTATGCTTTAGCCATTGGCAATTTGATGTATGCCATGATATGTACAAGACTAGACATTACCTATGCAGTTGAAGTTGTTAGCATATTCATGAACAATCCTAGGAAAGAGCATTTGGGAAGTTGTCAAGTTGTTATTTAGGTATCTTAGAGGTATGAGTGATATGACTCTTTGGTATGGCGACACGGAAATCTGCATGCTTGGGTATGTTTATTCTAATCTAGCGGGTGACATTGATAATAAGAAGAGCATGACAGGATATATGTTTACTCTTGGCAGTGCTGCAGTAAGTTAGGTCTCTCAGTTGTAGATGATTGTAACTATGTTAACCACAGAAGCAGAGTACGTTGTAATTGCAAAAGCTTGCAAAGAGATGGTATGGCTATAGAGTTTCTTAGGTGAATTAGGGAAGAAGTTCAATGATTGCAAATATAGTGACAGTCAAAGTGCAATACATCTTGCGAAGAATTCCGCATTTCACTCAAGAACAAAGCATATTGATGTAAAGTACCATTTTTTTCGTTCATTCTTAGAAGATGGCAAGTTCAGCTTGGAGAAGATCCACACAAGTGAAAATCCTACAGATATGTTAACCAAGGTGGTTACAGTTGAGAAGTTGAAGCTATGTGCAGCTTTAGTTGGCATTGGCATGTGAGGTTAACGGTTCGAGTCAATGCGGTGTTCTATAGAGTTATGGGGTGAAGATTGTTCATGTCTTGATCAGTCTCCAAGTGAGAGATTGTTGTTGGTGAAGCCTTAAACAAGACTAAACCTAATCAAATTAGGAAAAGGAAATAAGGAAATTAGTGATTGGTTAGATTTGGACTCTAAACTATTTCATTGTTGGTTAAGATTTTACTTGTTAGTTTAGGTTTTGATTTCCTTATTAATTTAGGATTGGGTTTGAGGCTAGCCTATAAATTGTTAGAGAATGTGTGAAGGTAGAGTTCTACATCAGACAAAAACTAAAAGAGATAGGTCTTAATATACATTAGGTGGGCTCTCCAATTATAGACATAAACTTTTAAGTGGGTATGCGTTCCAAATAATGTATGTTGGGCCTTGACATGACGTCTGTGGACTCTGGAGTTTCTCTATGATGAATTGGACTGGTATTGCTGTGCCCTTGTAGGCTCCCTGATTCCTTAACAATTGGTATCAGAGTCAATGGCTAGTGATCTATAGGTGGGGTCTCCTAAAGCATCGATGTTATTGGCCTTGGGTTCGCACAGAGGCTCTCAATGGTGCAAGAAAAATCCATGACGACTTTTGATGGAACAAAGAAAATTCCTGGTACACTTGGCAAGGTTGGACCGTGATAAGATGGCTCTCAATGAAGTATGGTGGCTCATGATGGAGTGTGTGTAGGTGGCCCAAGTTGGACTCGATGTTTGAGAGTTATAGATCAAGATTAAGGGGGAGTTCATATGATCTATCATGAACCTGCTAATGATAGATCAAGACTCAAGATGGAGCAAAGAGAGGCCTGATGTTTGGTTTACACAGGATGGGGAGATTGTTGGAGCATGTGTGAAGGTAAAGTCCTACATTGGACAAAAAGTAAAAGAGATAGGTCTTAATATACATTAGATGGGCTCTCCACTTATAGGATTAAGTTTTTAAGTGGGTAAGAGTTCCAAATAATATATTTGGAGCCTTAATATGGCATCTGTGGACTCTATAGTTTCTCCTCGATGAATTGGACCGGTATAGTTGTGCCCTTGTGGGCTTCCCGATTCCCTAACATCCTTAACACTGAATTAGTATCTAACCATCAACCTACCTTAACAATATATTTGTTGCACACCAATCTTTTCCATAGAGCAGTATCTTTTTGAATAAAATCTCCATCACCATTTAAGTAGGCAATCAATCATTCACAACCTTTATTCTTCTGATGCCTAGATCCCATTGATCCTTACTTCTAGACACCTCCTGCAGCTTACCATATAAACCTTTCCTTTTAAATATGTAACCCCTGTCCCTCCCCCAAAAAAATCAACTTCAATATTGTTAATTTCTCTTGCAACACCGTCTAGCATTTTGAAAATAGACAGAGAATAGGCTGGTAAGCATGAAAGTATTGATTTTAACAATGTGAGTCTACCAGCAAAACACAAGAGCCTTCTTTTCCATGCTGCAATTTTTTACTTGAACTTGTGTAAAACTTGCTTCCAAGTGATCCGCCTACTAGGATTAGCACCAAAAGCTAATCATAAATACTTGATTGAAATCCTTTGGCTGATGCAATCTAACTTTGAGGCAAAATCTGCAACAATAGCATAAGGAACACCAACAGTGCACATTACACTTTGTGATTGTTAATTTTTAATCTAGACGTAACTTCAAAGCACCTAAGTATTCTCTTTAAAGTTACCAACTCCACCCATTCAGCTTAATAGAAGATAATGTGTCATCATCAAATTGAAGATGTGAAAGTGACAAGCCATTTGGGTCAACGACTACTCCTTTAAATAGCCCCATCTCTTTGGCTCTCTGCAACAATATATTATGGCCTTCAGCCACAATGTTGAAATAGAAAGGTCAGAGTGAATCACCCTGCCTTGGCCATTTTTCAAGGTAGAACTCAAAAGTGGGTGAGCCATTAACAAGCACTGAGATCCTAGCCAAAGAAACACAAGACCTCATCCAACTCACCCATTTGGGTCCCAATCCAAACTTGTTAAGTATATCAAATAAGAACTCCCAATTAATATAATCATATGCCTTTTCAATGTTCAACTATAGAATATTTTAGAACTAAACCAAAATATTCATAATTAATTATTACTTTCAAAATAATATATATATATATATATTGTAGAAAAGTAGTCTACATCACTGTCCATTTATGAAGAAAAGTATTGAAATAATATAGTTACAATTATTAGATCAATTTTATTTTTGGAGTGGATGATTAGAACATAAAGGCCTGCAAAATGAAAGGATTGAATCAATGAAGTGAGCTCAATGATGGGCCCTACAGGCCAAACCAAACCAATGGTGGATTGGAGAGAATCAAAATGCTTTTCTTTTTCGTTTTGCTTACTTGACGTTGACATTTAGTTCCATGCAGATAAAATGTAATGAAGTCATCTTGGAAGACATGGATATAGCAAAAGCCATATGTGATTATGTTAAGGTCAACTTAGTTGAGACTCTGGTAGTTGGTTCCCCCTCGAAGAATAGCTTTATGAGGTAAATTACTTCTGGCCTTCACTCTTGAAATATAAATATATAGCAATGAAGAAAACCAAATCTTTCTGAAGCTCAGTCACACCCTCACGCGCATGTGTATGCATGCGTGTGCACATTCATGCACATAAATAACAATAAAAAACAGCAAATGCTATCAAATCGCTCAAAGAACAACAGAATTGAAGTTTTGATTATTTTATTCTAATGACTTCTACATAGCCACTTACTAGGATTCAAGTAGTTTTGTGCCAACATTGACATTGAGACTCAAATGTGTGTCAAAACTAGCATTCAAATTCTTCCGTGATAATTGACCACCAATTTCACTATACACTCAAAATTCTTTATGTATTCAAGGAAGGTAATTAGACCTTTTCCGATTTTGCAAAATCTACTAGGTTGTGCCACAACATTTGATTGAATTGTAAGAATCAGACCAATAGGAAACAGAAGTGGTTTACATTGATACTCATCAATCAAGCAGTGTTTGTACCTAAATTAGACATACTAATTTACAATGAAAGTCGTTAATGATCATCTTTCATGACAGAAGATTTAAGAGCTCAGATGTTTCGACCAATGTTTCAAAGGGAGCACCAGAATTCTGCAGTGTGTATGTCATCTCAAAAGGCAAAATTTCATCGGTAAGATCTGCCTCCATCCCAGTTCCAAACCCACCACCCCGCCCATTACAGAACCAAATCATTCCATATCATAGTTCACTCGATGTACGACCCATTCAAAATTATGGTACAAGAGGTCTGCTTCTGTAACTTTTAATATAACATCATGTTATCTATGAAGAGAGTTTTGTCATTGTTGCTAATAGAAATTATCTGGATTTCATCCCATTTCAATAGCTGAGAGGACACCATTTGCACCTCGCAACTTGATTGAAGACACAGAGATCAAGTAAGTACTTACTAATTCATTCAAGAAATTGAGAAATAATGATATAATAAGAAAACCGGAATAAATAAATAAAAAGTTAAGACTTGTATGTGTGCAGCTAACATATATATATATACATAAATGTAATATAACCGTCTTGCTTCGGTTGAAATGAATAGGCATAAGTACAATATACTTGGTTAACCTAGCTAGGAGATGCTTGAATAAGGGAAACTATGTGATTTTGATTGTGGTAGTCGTAGTGGTAGTGGTAGTGTAGTGGATGCTTTGCTTAATTATAAGGCAAGGCAATCATGGCTACCATACAAAATGCAAAGAGACTTCTGGAAAGGGGAAAAAAAAGAAAGGAAAAGAATAAATAAATGGAAGTAACATAGTTAGGTGTTTGAATTACTAATGTGCAGGTCACCATTCAATAGAAATAAAGCATCAAACAAATCGTATGCGGAGCTTTCAATCTCTGATACAGACATATCATTCGTGAGCTCTGGGAGACCAAGCACCGAACGTATGTATCCCTTTGATAGTCAAGAAATGATGGGTGGGGCACCTCCTCGACTTTCATGTAGCTCTGACACAGACAACAGAAGCAGCTTTGGGTCATCATTCTCAGCATCCAAGTCATCTGATCCAAACTATATGCATGGCTTCTCATCTGGCTCCGAAAGTAACACTGCGTCGTGGTCATCATCACAGAACCTGGTATATATAAACTATTGTACTTGTACAATCAATTTCTAAAATACAAACAAAACAAAAATCATTATAGGATGCCCTTACTAGTAACTCAATACTCTTTTTTCCTTAAAATTAAAAAAATAAATAAATAAATAAAAACTTGCAGGATGAAGTGGAAGCTGAGATGAGGAGGCTCAAGCAAGAGCTCAAGCAGACAATGGAGATGTATAGCACAGCTTGCAAAGAAGCACTCTCAGCAAAACAAAAGGTACTGACTGGGTTTGTTCTTTTAGAGTTTTGATTTTCCTATTACATTTGATTTTAGATCATTGTTATCTAAAATTGTGTAATTAATTTTTTAAAAATTTATCAAATATAGGGACAAAATGTTAGGAAAAAACAAAAAAAGATATACTTGAAATTTAAAATCAAAGGTTAAATTTGATCCTTGGTTTTATTAGCATGCAAATACAGGCATTAATTTTGTAATCCGAATATATACAATACATATACGTGAAACTTTATATAACTTACAGTTTAGTATGGCAATTTGCTTAACACTTTATAGGAGAGCTACAAGAGCTCATAGTTACAATAAGGTCATCCCTTACTCTATTCCTTCCTAAAGTCAGGAACAGCGGGATGGGAACTAACTGATAGCTACAATTACGTAGTCTCGTGCAATTAACAGGCTAGGAAGCATCTTAGCTCCCAACAAAAGTCTATTGGTAGGGTCAAGTTGTTGAGGTCTCTCCAGCCTCAATAAATAAAGTATAGAAAAAGTGCGCTCTATAGTTGGGTCCAATTGAACAGGTCGTGGAGAAGATCTAGTTGCCTGGGTCACAAGGTCAGCCTCAGGCTAGTGCTTGATTGAAACTAGCCCTGAACCAGGGCAGAAGGAATAGCATGCAAAAGCCAGTTGGAAAAAAAAGAAGCTAATTCACCTATTCTTTTGGTCACCGTTTTATATCACTACCTATGTGCATACTCATGATTGGTTCCTTGTTTGGAAACTATACTAAAAAAATAATGAAGAAAAATAATATAGTTTCACGCACCTGGTGATATAAAATGATGAAGAAAAAAAAATCGATAGAAGGCCTCCTACATATACTAGCATGAGTTAAGTTGAAATTTAATTTGTAATCTAATAATATTAATTTTTTTGTTGCATTATAGGCAATGGAACTTCATCGTTGGAAAATTGAGGAACAACAGAAATTTGAACAAGCACAATTAGCTGAGGAAGCAGCATTGGCAATTGCCGAGAAAGAGAAAGCAAAGACTAAGGCAGCCATTGAGGCAGCAGAAGCATCTCAGAGGATTGCAGAATTGGAAGCACAGAAAAGAATGAATGCTGAATTGAAAGCACACAAAGAAGCTGAGGAAAAGAATAAGGTACTAGATACCCTGGCACATAGTGATATAAGGTACCGTAAATACAGTATAGAGGAAATTGAAGCAGCAACAGATCACTTTTCCGAATCTCGCAAAATTGGGGAAGGAGGTTATGGGCCAGTGTACAAGTGTTATTTGGATCATACACCAGTTGCAATAAAAGTTCTTCGTCCGGATGCAGCTCAAGGAAGATCGCAGTTTCAGCAAGAAGTTGAAGTCCTAAGTTGCATAAGGCATCCCAACATGGTTCTCCTTCTTGGAGCCTGCCCAGAGTATGGTTGCTTGGTGTATGAGTACATGGCTAACGGGAGCTTAGAAGATTGTCTCTTTAGGCGAGGGAACAAACCAGTTATTCCTTGGCAAGTAAGATTTCGAATTGCTGCAGAAATTGGCACTAGCCTTCTTTTCCTCCACCAAACAAAGCCAGAACCACTAGTCCACCGTGACCTAAAACCTGCAAACATTCTGCTTGACCGTAATTTTGTTAGCAAGATTAGTGATGTTGGGTTAGCCAGGCTGGTTCCTCCATCTGTAGCCAACAGCGTAACTCAATATCGCATGACCTCAACTGCTGGAACTTTTTGTTATATTGACCCAGAGTACCAACAAACTGGCATGCTTGGAATTAAGTCTGATATCTACTCCCTTGGTATCATGCTGCTCCAAATAGTTACAGCCAAGCCTCCTATGGGTTTGACTCATCATGTTGAACGAGCTATTGAGAGGGGTAATTTTTCTGAAATGCTTGACCCATCTGTTACTGATTGGCCAGTAGAAGAGGCCTTGAAGTTTGCCAAGCTATCTCTTAAATGTGCAGAGCTCAGAAGAAAAGACAGACCAGATCTTAAGACCATCGTGTTACCTGAACTTAATAGATTGAGCAACCTCGCAGAAGATAATATGTCTAGTAGCAACAACAATAGTGTCATGATGTTGGGTGGCACTAGTTGTAGTAGTACTAGTACTCCTCCAAGGACCTCACTATATCAGAGCCAAGTTTCCACATCTCAAGTGAGTTCCTAACTTACTTCCTAATGCTCTAATGCATTCCATGCCATGCCATGCCATGGACGTAGATAAGCTAGCTCGTTTGCATTTAGTTTTTGTATTTTTTCAAAATTATATCTTCTTCATCTTATTCTCTCTAAGTTGATTTTTGAGATTCAATGAAACTTGTTGGATTGGAAGGAATTGTTCCTTTCATTCCTTGTATAAGACAAAAATAAATCCACATATTATTATATATTTGCGAGATTTTATTTATCTGTAAGACTACAAATGAGATTCAATTGAACCAAGAATCTTCTTGGTTGGTTCCGTGATGCTATAATCTTAATGTTGTCTTAAAGAAACTGAAAACAATCTTTTGCAGGAGATGATAAGCGACCCTCAATTGCAACAGTCTGGCTATGAAAGTTCACAGAGCGCTTTGAGTGCATCTTTTAATTCAGATAGGAGATCAAGTATGTATAGGGAAGCATTACAAATTTTTGGATTAAAAAAAAAATACAATCATATGTTTTTACAAGTTAAAAGTTTACTTGAAGCTCATTCTACTTTTGTGTTTTTCACAGGCTGAATGTCCGAGGACATCTTAACACATAATTCATTGTTCAAGGAGTTCAAGATGAAAACAAGGAATTAAAGTTAGCTCCTCGGCATATAAGATAAAAGGTGGAGCCCTTAGTTGATATTGTCAAGAAACTGTTTGAATTTTTTGAAATTTTTTTTTTAATGACAAATAAGATGATTGTATTTACAAAAATGTTATTGTAACTTCTATTTTGAATATTTGGATGACTTGAACTCTGAAGTTGTTCACTATCTCCTTGTTGACAAAGTAAATAATAAAAAAAAATCCATAATTTTGATATTTTGACCATGCTTACTCTCAACCAGAATCACAATTGAATTATACAGAAAAACTAAAATAGTTTAGGGAAACTATGACCTATTGGGCGAACAGTTACAGATCATTGAAAACTTTTTAAAAGTTACATCACAGGTGAAAGAATACAAAAGTAATTACAAAACCATTCAATCTTTAGATAGGATTACAAAACCACACTTGTATTTTTTTGGGCAAATTACACTTACATTTTGCCCCTGGTATCATTTTGGTCCTTACACTTTCAATTGTCTCAATTTTGACCCTTAATTTTAGATTTTATGTTGATTTGGTCCAAATGATAATGTCGTTAGCGATTTTGACGAAAATTGATCATTGAATTGGTTGAGATTAACTTACTGAGTTAAGTAGGTTTATAATTTTACTCTTAAAAATATGACAATTTTTCATTAAAAAAAATTACTAAGAGTTATTATTAATTAGACCAAATTGAGATAAAGTCATAAATTTAAGGTTAAAATCGAGTTAATTGAAATTACAGGGATCAAAATGACACAAGAACTAAAGTACAGGATTACTGTCACAATTTGTCGTATTTATTTATTTAAGTTTTTTTTCCTTCTATAAATATCCTATTTACTTCCTTTTCCATTGCCACCACTATTAAACCATTGTAAAGGGTTGGAAATTAAAATGTTGACTATCCCACCAAAGTCGCATCGACAGGAAGAATACTTTAGATAAAAGGAGCATGGGCAAAACCTTAAGGAAAATAGGTCAACGAAGAACCTAATGGGCACCAACTAACTAGATCCGAAAAGACTACCAGTGGTAGAAGTGACCAAGGTAAAACTAAATGATGTAAGACCTATTGTGATACAATCGCTGTGGCAAGACTTACTGAGGCACTGTATAGACACACCATTTTATTTAACCATAAAGATATAGACGCTTAAATGCTTCTTGATGATGAAATGGTGAATTTTGACTTTAGAGATGCTTTGAGTTGCAATGAGCTACTATATCACCTCTTTTACATCCAAAAATCAACTTTTTTTCAAAATGATCATTTTACCCCTAAATCTATTTTTATCTAACTCACCTTTTCTTTTTTTTTTTTTGGCATCTTTTAGATAAGAGAGAGTCCAATTAAGTCCAAGTTGGCGAGATTTTTCAAAAGTATTAGCTGAGTTTTTATCAAAAACGTCAATTGGGAGTCAACTGGGCCTTGTTAGGCAACAAAGTTTGCCCATGAGCATAATAGTAGACTTAGATAGCTAAGTCTACCATTATTAAGTGATTTTAGATAGCTAATTAATTTATTTAAAATAATATTAAGTGATTTTAATAGTGCTAATTAAATTATTGAATTCTAGTAATAGTAGCGTCATGATTAGTACTAATTTTTAACTCTTTTAAATTAATTTTCTTTCTTTTTTGTGTTAAATTTCAGTATTTTAATTAATGCTGTAAAAACTAAAATTTAGTTAGGAATTTATATGTAATAAATAAGTTAGTTGAAAATAATAATAATAATAATAATAATAATAATAAAATAGAAAATTGAAGGATGCTATGCAAGTGGCATTTACACCTATTGAAACCTTTTGTTTGTCTCAGATAAAAAAGATCAGCTATCCTTGCAAGCCAAGACCTAGGATAGGATTGAAGTGATTAGACTAGACAATGAAGGAGAAAGAGGACCAATCATATTACATGCAATATATATATATATATATATATAATAACAAATTCTAATTAAATTAAAACACAAGTCCTCTCATGTGGTACATGTACAGCTGGTTGGAAAAGAAAAGAAAGAAAGAGAAGGTGAAAAAAAAGAGGAGGAGGAGGAAGTGAGTAAGGAGGTTTCAACACTTGGCGGATTTGTATTTTTTGAAAAACCTTTCTAGGTAGGAATAGTTTATCTCTATTCTCCCTTAGATTATTCCTAATAGAAATAAATAAAATAAATCTTAAATTTACAATTTTAGATAACAAATAATTTCAAATATACAAATTATTTCCAAAAATAATATCATAGTGGTGTGCCCAAAATAGTCATTTTCATAAAAAGTTAATTTTTGGTCAAAACAGGTTTGCCCAGTAACTCCAAACACCCTTAAATATTCAAAAGATGAAGTAAGTATCGTTTCATCATCGAGAGGCTTGCAAGCACCTAAAGTCTAAGGGTTAGTCAACATAGGGTGTCTACAGGCTTAACTCACAAGATTCGAAAGTTGCATCTTATTCACAACCACCACTACAATCCACCAAATACTCATTACAAATTTCAAGCTTGCAATTTTCGCAACTACCCCATCTTGGAGATCACACATGCAACCAAAATGCATATCATGATTTGTTAATTATGTGCTAAGTTTTAATTGTGATATCTGCCATGTGATTAATTTGTGTATATCTGTCCGATTTAAAAACTATCTGTTATGATTTCCATTCAGATTTTGAAATTGATGGCTTAAATAATTTCAAGAATCAAAATTGGCTACATGAATAGACTAATTGTAATTTTTAGAAGTATTTGGTAAGTTTGACTAAAAATTGATTCAGTTTGATTAATTAAGTTGTGTTTAATTAGCCTAATGTTCTAATTGATGTATTAGGCTATCCTAGCTATATATATGAGCATTAAGCTCATTCTTGAGCTCAACATTCTTCATTCTTAAGTACAAAAATCTGAAAATTAATTTGAGAGAGAGAGTGACATCTCATCTAGAGAGAGAAAGTGTAGAGATTGAAGAGAAACTTGGAGGATTAGCTAAAATTGGTCAATATTGGGCAAGAATTAGTGTATTTGAAGGCTCTAGGTAAGAATTTAACCCTCAATTCTTGAAGATGAGTTGAGTTCATGGTGTATATATGATCTTTTCCATGTATTTTAGTCAAGAAGTGTTGTAGCTTTACATGCATGCATAAATATGTTGAGTTTTTCCATGTTGAGGTTGATTTCTATCATCATGTTGAAATTATGAGTTAATTGGTACATGCATCTTTGATTCATCATGTTTTAACTCTTAAATTCATGTTTTGGAAAAGAGTTTTGTGCATGCATGGAGCTTTTGAACTCAATTGTGTTAAAGTCATGAGTTTTGAGAGGGAGGGAAGTTTGTAAATCTTGTAAATCTTACATGCATGGAGGTTTAAGTTCAATTTTGGTAAAGTCATAAGGTTTTGAGAAAATAATTTATGAATGATCATGTATTTGAGTATTCTAAAATATTTTTATAAATATCAAAGTGATTTAATGAGTTTGGAATTGTCACAAGCCCCTATGGGTTTAGCACCGTAACCGGACAGTAATTCGAGATTACCGAAGGCCTACTTAACAGTAATACAGTAATACGGAGTACAGGGGCTGGCGGAAGCCAAAACAGTAATTAAAAGATGTCCAATGAGTTGTGACAGTCTGTATGTAAAAAGACTTTTCATATATATATATATACAATTAGTACCAAAACAGTATGTACAATATATACAATCATTCAGGACAGGGACTTAATCCCTATTAGAACAGTACAGTACAACATCATTCAGTCAATACAAAACATAAACAAAAAGGGGGAAAACTAAAACACCCCAAAAACCTTAGTTTGAAGGACTTGGAACCTCTCAGTGAGGCACGTTGGTTGGCTTGACAAAACTGGAGTTTATCCTGACGCTTCTAGTAACGATCTGGTGCCTGTACACCTACATATATATATGAGCAGTGAGCTAAAGCCTAGTGAATAACATATGCGTAAAGAGGTTAAGAATGAATATCCTTTCAATATTGAAAACAATCATTTAAACAGTATATCAGTCATTCAGTTTGTGGCTCATATTTCGGGCCATAACAGTCATTCAGAAACTATAATAGTCATATGTGGTACATCCAATAGCAAAACAGTACAGTAGGTCTTATCAGACCGAACAATCAGTTGATGGCCATCATATCAGTAAACAATAGTGCTTCCAACATGGGAACCGACAGAGATCTCTGTGACAGTAGCAGTATAGTACAGTAACAGTAGGTTGCTATGGATGCCACGAATACAGTTCACAAATAGGACATCATTCATTCAGTAACAATATCATTTCAGAAAACAGTATAGTTCAATTGTTCAGAAGATAATCATTATTGAACATATCTTTACAACGTTGTTACTCATAGAGTTCTGGGCTACAGATAAGTTAGTACGCGTCCTCGGATGCCAACCCTACACAGTTACAGAGTGAACACACTAAGCTACACAGTTGGAAAAATAATAACTTAATCCCTAATTTGCCTCAGTGTGGTTTTACATCAATATCCTCATTAAGATGCCTTAAACTAGGCCTAGAAATGCCTAAGATGGAATGAGGATGCAAATATGCACTTTAAAAACATTTTCATAATTTTCAAAAAACAGAGGTCCCGCTCGAGCGTACATGCAAACAAAAGGCTCCGCTCGAGCCTAAACTTTCCCGTTCGAGCGGACCTCAAAAGTACTGGATATGTGAAAATCACGCTCGATGGGCGCTCGACACCCGCTCGAGCGTGTGACACAAGTCCTCGCTCGAGCGTGCAAAACCCTGCTCGAGCGGACTGTAAACACAACAAAAGTGCTGGATACACGAATTTCCCACTCGAGCGCCACTTATCCCGCTCGAGCGGGACTCCAAAATCTGGAATTTCCAAAATTGAACCTCAAGCTTAAAATCAAATTTTAATACATTAAATTCGATCCTCTTGGGCCAATTTTCTAGAAAACACTTGTAAATTCATAGTTTAACATGATTCAAAGCTCAATTTGTAAAATCAAGGCCCAAAGGTAGTTCAATTGAACACAAATTCAAACAAATTCCATGAACATGATGTAAAACATAACATGTATGAATTAAATCAACTTCAATCTTCCAAAACATGAACAAATGAGCCAATTCTTTCTATAACAAGATGAATTCATGGACTATAACAATAATATGGACATGCATGAAAGAATTTTCTTGAAAACAACCTTAAAGTTCAAGAGATGCACATGC